AAACAATTTATTTGACCTCCCTGAACCTCAGAAGTTTTTCCCATTCGATGGAAATAGTCAATAGTAGCTGTTTCAGGCTGGGCAAGGTGGCTCATGCCTGTAATCTCAGCACTTGGGGCGAAGGCAGGCAGATGGCTTGAGCCTAGGAGTTTGAGACCAGTTTGGGCAACATAATGAGACCCTGTCTCTACAAATAAATTAAAAAATTTAGCTGGGTGTGGTGGCATACTCCCACCTACTAGGGAGGCTAAGGTGGGAAGACTGCTTGATCCCAGGAGTTTGAGGCTGCAGTGAGCCATGATTGTGCCACTCCACTCTAGCCTGGGTGACTCAGGGAGACTGTGTCTCAAAACAAAAAAAAACAAAAAAGTATCTACTTCAGAGGACTGTCATTAGGTTAAATGAGATCATGCAAATAAGCACTCAATAAATGTAAGCCATTATTAGTCATAATTTACCACAACACTATTGCTATTGTTGCTGTAAGGCCGGTTGCCTCGCTGGGAGCTCGAACACGCCCATCCCTCTCCGCGCCTGAAAACTGTCACCACTCCATGCTTGACATCAAGCTCTGCACTTGGCACCTAGCCCGCCATTGGAAAACACCGCCAAAATTTAAAAGAAGCCCTGCCAAAACCTGCCCAACAGCATTTTGCCCTGTCTAGGTCCCACTCCCCCTGGGAGGCTCGCTCACTGGAAATCCCACCTACCTACCGATGGCAGCTTGCCCCATCCACGTCCTGTTCCCTCATAGCCAATCAGGACACCCTCACTCGCTATAAAACCCCACGCCTTGGGAAGTCAGGCGCAACTTCCCTGGCCCCTTTCCCCGGGACCATGGGACCTTGCCAGGGAGCTAAATAAATTGGCATTTAATTTTCTTATACTGGCCTCAGTTTCCTCATTTTAAACTCGGCAATAACCCTTACATTTGGTGCCGAAACCCGGGAGGAGCTCTAAGACCCCTCCTGGGGGAAACTGACTCCTCCACTCAAAGCCGGACCAGGGAGCCACTCCACCACAAGGTAAGACTTCTGTTGCCCACAACCCCTTCTGCTGCTTGCCTTGTGGACTCCCTTCTCATGATTGCGGCCGCTTCGGGGACTCCTTCTCATTGCTCGCCGTGGGTGCAGGGCCCGGCCTCGTCTCAAGGACCTGAGCGTAGAGGAGACGTCCCTACACTCTTGTCTTCTCCCCGTGAGGGGTTTCTCAGGGTCAGGATTCTGAGGGAGACGTCCCCACCTTCCTGAACCCTCTCTTATCCTCCGGTGTTCGGTGGCGCAGCCTGGCACGCTGAGCCCATCTTCCAATTATCTCCTCAGCAGCGGCTGAGGTTTGGGTAATCAGAAGCCCTATTTACAAACCCAGGCCCTGCCCAGGAGCAGGACCAAATCCCTGACTTACAATCTCAAACTAGCCCTTTGGCATACAAGCTCCCGTCTGTGAAGTAACTGTACTTTCGGTTTCTCTTCCTAACCCCGGCACGAGTGAGTGAATGAGTGAGTTTATGTGTAGTCTCACGGCCTAACGGCTACGGGGTTTGTGTGGGCCTCAACCCGTGGTTCCACGGGGATGTCATAAGGCATAATGGTGATACACCTCAGGACCGAAAGTTCTGAGGTGACCAGGCCCGGGGGTTATATGGGTACACCTTAGCCAGGACACCCTGGAACATCCCTTTGGGGATGTGGCCAGGAAGGCATCAGACTGGTCTCCAATCTGGGGGGCACCCATCCTTTGTCAATCAATCCTATATGTGGTTCTGTCTTTATTGTAAATTCGCCAGTTTTGTTAGACTCTTGTTAGCTGATATACAGTGAGTTAGGTCTGCTTCCTTTGAAGTAATTCTATAGTGCGTAACAGACCACTGGCTGCAGGAAACCTTTACTGAATTTATGCCCCTAAAAGTAACTCTGTTCTCTTTCCTTCTCCTCCTCTTCTACTACTGAGGCCTCATTTCCTCTAACTCTGCCATGTGGCAAATAGCCCTAGCTCTGTCTCTTTTATTCTCTTTCTTATTATAATTGTTGTAGCCTGTAGGTTCTCTCAGCCACCCCCTTTAGGACAGGAATATTTCTGCCCATGTTAGATATAATATCTTTTTATAATCCTTCCTCACCCCTAATTACCCCGAGACAGAGAGTAAACTATGGGTAATCAGGAGTCCCACCTAGACCCCAAGTTGCCCTTGGGATGTCTAGTCCAAAATTTACCCAAACTGGGCCTTTCCATAAAAAAAGAAAAGGCTGCTCTTCCTGTCTACCGTGGTCTAGCCACAGTACTCTCTAAACAACCAGTCTAAGTGGCCTCCAGAGAGCACACTCAACTTCAGTGTCCTAACAGATTTAAATAACTTTTGCCAAAAAAAACAGCAAGTGGTTGGAGGTCCCCTATGTCCAGGCCTTTTAGTATCTGCGCTCCGACCCGCCCTCTGCTCTTCTTCCTCTGCCCAGGTCCTGTTAGCCAAAACCCCGCCTTTGCCCTCAGCCCCGCCCAGCTCTGCACTCTCCGAAAACCCAGAAGACCTGTCCTGCCCCACCCGCTTTACCAACCCCCCCTCCTTATGCAGGGCCTCAACTCCCTCCTCCCCAAATCCCTAATATAACTTCCCCTGTCAGTGCTCATACCCGCTCTCACGACCCCCACCCCCCACTCCTCTGCCCTTTGCATGAGGTAGCCGGGGCCAAGAGAGTTGTACGAGTGCACGTTCCGTTTTCTGTCTCTGACCTATCAGCTATCGAGAAGCGCCTAGGGTCTTTCTCCACTAACCCAACTGCCTACACCAAAGAGTTCCGCTATCTTACCCCAGCACATAACCTAACCTGGCATAACACGTATGTAATCCTATCCTCCACCCTCACCCCAGATGAGTGTGACCACATCCTTATGGTGGCCGGGGCGCACGCTAATCAGGTGCATCTCACAGACAATCAGATGCCAGTAGGTACAGCAGCAGTCCCCAAGGCCAACCCTAATTAAAACTATCAAACTGGTCAAAATAGCTGCCGCCACCGCCAAAACCAAATGCTACAGTGCCTCCTAGCGAGCATGCAAAGCGCAGCCCAAAAGGTAGTCAATTATGACAAGTTAAGGGAAATAACTCAGGGACCTGATGAAAACCCAGCTGCTTTCCTTGACCGATTAACTAATGCTATGATCCTCCATACCCGGCTGGATCCAGCCTCCTTAGCGGAGGCTACAGTCCTAGCCACCCACTTCATCTCCCAGTTGGCGGCTGATATAAGTAGGAGACTTAAAAAAGCTGAGGAGGGCCCCCAAACTCCCATACAGGACCTGGTAAACATGGCATTTAAAGTTTTTTTT